CAAATTTATATAATGTTATTAGCCAATGTCACCCCCAAAAAATTTAATTTAAAAAAAAAAAAAAAACCTGGAAAAAATGCTAGAGCCTAGACATTTGGGGAAAGGAAGGGAAGGCATTGTTTTCCCAGCATCTCTTTTATGCAGGAATGGTGCTGGGCAGTTTACTGACTGCCTTGATTAGTTCTCTGAGGTATCCTAAGAGCTAGGTGTCCTTCTCCCCATTTCCAGTAAGGAAACCAAGGTATAAAATATTTAATAACTTGTCCAAAGACATACAAAGATTTAGCGGTCTGTCTGATTTCAACTCTAAGTTTTTCCCTCTTCACCAGGCTTTCTCCTGGGGGCAGGGGACGGCAGAAGGGAGGTGGGTTGTTGGGCTCTGAGAATATGCACAAAGAAAGGGGAAACTTCTGACAAGCATGCAGAGGAAAGCGAAAACAAAAAACAGACTCCAAAGTGTCAGGAGGAAGGAACAGGAACTGAAATTATCTATCACCCAGTGATTTTGAAAGAACTGATGCTTGCCCCTGGGCCTTGCTCTCAGAGCTGCCCCACCCTCCAAGGCACTTTGTGGTGGGCTCCTCCAGTAAAGCAAGGTGAATCAGCACATCAACAAATATGCCACAAGTGGTCTCCAGCTGCAGAAAACAAGCAGATATATACAGCCACTGTCCCATGTGGTGAAGGTGAGAAGGTTGGGGGAGGCTAGGCTGCAAACCTCCAGCCTGAATGTGGTTGGAACAATGAGAACAGTTGTCGTAGTTAATACCCCTGACCTAGTGAAATGTACAAGGTAATGGGTGGGGAGGGGAGGTGCAAGATAGAATGACATGGAAAGAACCATCCAGAGCTGGACCAAAAAGCAAGGACAGGGTGTAGCAGAGAGAGTCCTGGATAGAAGTTCAAATCCTGCCCCAACGTGGGCAAGTCCCCAGAGCCTGCTGCAAGGCCTCAGCTTGTACCTCAGCACTGTTTGCTTCCTACAGATCCTCTAATAGCACCCCAAGCAGGGCCCCATAGAAACAAAGACAGATGAGAAAACAGATCACTGGTTCAAGTGGGAAATACACTTGTAAACAAAGGTGGAGAAGAAAGGACACAACCAGGGAGTAATTCTCTAATTCGCAGATAGGGAAAATTAAGGTTCATCAGAAGGAAATGACTTTGCTCCAGACTTTTCTCCTGGGGCCCATACTGGGTTTCCTAGAGGATGGAGGGACTTTCTTTGCTCTGGACATCTTTTTAAACAGCCAGGAAAGCCAGAGCTGCTCCCCACACAGTCTTAGGGGAACTCCAGGTGTAGGAAAAACTTTGGAATTCAGCTGGGATGTGGTTTCATTTTGTCTGCCTCTGGTTTCCTAATGTCAAGGTGTGAGGCTGGGCAGGCAGCCAGCTTAGCTTAGAAAAGTAAATGAAAGAGGAAAAAAGGAAGACGGGGCCAGGAAGGCAGGGGTAGGACATGGGGGCAGGGGAAGGCTGCACTAGGCTGGAGGGAACGTGTGTCTGGCTTTAGCAAGGAATATGTTAGGAAAAGGGGTGCAGGAGGTATGAAGATGGATGAGATGAGAATCAGCCCTCTGAACTCAAGAGTCCCATCAATAAGCTCACAGGGTCTACGAACCTCTTATATGCAAAATTATGTGTGTTTCTGTGTAGGTCTCCACATGTTTGTGGAAAGTGTTCACAGCTTTCAACAGATCCTTAAAGGGCTCCGTTACCAATACAGGTTGGAAGCAATCCCTCATTTTACAGATGAAGAAACTTAGTACTTGGCTAACAGCTATTCTCAGTAATAATTTGTAGAACAAACAGGAAATGAATGAGCAATGTAGACCAAGCATACTGGCTGGACAGGGAGGGCAGAGACAGCTTCATGACATTTATACCTCATCTTACAGTCTCCTAATATGTCCATAGTCATTATTTCCCTTGATCCCCTCAACCACAAGTGTGGTGGGTCAGAAAGGCAGGTGTCCCTAGTTTTCAGGAACATAAAATGCTGGGTAAATTATAACAATAGTTGCCATTCATTGAACACCCACCCTGTATTGTACCATGTACCATCTGTTTAATTTACATAGGCTCTTTGATTTCTTCATGGAATCAGTACATTAGAGCCAGAGAATTTTGCACAGGAGAAAGTGAATAGCAGACTGGAACTACAGTCTGCTATTAAGTCCTTCTCCCTCCTCTGCCCCACCCCCACCACAATCCAGCAGAAACACCAGAAAGGAAGAAAAATACTCTTGACGTACCCACTGCCTATTCCTGCTTAGTAACACCATCACCCTAACCCGCCCCTCCCACTACCACTTACACACACACACACACACACACACACACACACACTTACGCACAGCAGAAAGGTTCACTGGGATTTAAAAATGAGGATCGTGTGGGTCCATCTGTGGGTTGGTTCCCTCACCTCTCTCCTCAGCTGGTATCCCAACTCAGCACATTTGGTATCCAGGAAAATATTTTCCTTTCTTTCTCAAATTGGGAAACTGAGATCAAGGAAAGGAAACAAAAACAGAGCTCACATGGGAAAACTGAACCTTAGCAAAAGTTTCAGGAGTTCTCTAAAAACAATGCAGTGTGGTAGAAAGTCCATGAACCCATTATTGCATTCGATGTTGAGTTCTACCACTTCAGGCTATAGGACTTTAAGCAAGTCACTTAACTTCTCTAAGCCTCAACTTACTCATTTGCTTAAACATAAAGACTTTTTGTAATAGAGTTCACTAATCCCTATTAATTGGGGTCTGGTCTAGATTGCTGAAAAGCCTAAAGTGTAGAATATCTATAGGGGACTGCCATTTTCTTACTCTTAATAATAACATGTAATATTAGCTAATGTTATTAAAATATTTAACATGCATCAGACATTGTTCTAAAAGCTTATAAGCATAAGCACATTTGTGGGAACTTAAGTCTCTCGACAGCTGTGGAAGGACCATTATGATTATCCTTGATTTATACATAAGGAAACTGAAGCCAGAGAGATTAAGTAACTTGCCCAAGGCCACCTAGCTAGTAAATGCGAGAAACACCAAAGCCCTTGCTCATAACCACTGAGCCAGAAAGCCTTGCACATGTTTGGTAACTAAGGTGGCTATGTGAAGGAAACAATTAAAACAGGCAGAACATTGTTTTGTGGATGGATGAGAGTTTCTGATATATTTGCAACTTCTTTCTTTAAATGAGATGGCCACGCCTTCCAAAATTGTGTTTCTGTTGTTAATTGGTTAATGAGTTTTGAGGAAGGAATGAGAGGATTTTTATGACAAGCTTAGAACAAAACCTGGCACCCAAAAGGGACATAACAACTGTTAACTGCCTGACTGATGTGAGTTAATGGAACAAGCTTGAGCCTAGTCATCAGAAACATCAGCTGTGTGACCTTGAGGACCTTAATGACCACTCTGAGGCCTAGTTTCCACTTCCGAGACTCGGTTTCCACTTCTGCAAAATGAGATTAATAACCATCCTGCCTCAAAGTCATTGTGAGGAATAAAAGAAACAAGGTCTTCCCACTCTGGGTGATTCAGTCACCTTTGGCCACCACTACATATGTAACAGTAGCTAGCAAGAAAATATTCTTGGTATAAGATTACATTTTTTAAGTTCCATTTTTAAAAATTTTTTGTTTGCTTTTGTCGCTGTCAATAGATACTTTTCTCTTAGATAATTCAGAACTCAATTTTAGCGCAGCCCAGGCCAAGCTGTCACTAATTCTAAAGTACCCAAATAGGAATTGATAAAGATTTATTGTATCCAATTCTTTGGAATGGAGTAAAAACCCTGGCTCTAATCAAGACCACCACATGGGTTCAGTTCAAGATGAATTGAATTCAGATGTCCCCAGCCATGAATCTTTTAATGGTGAGCAAGCAGTCTTAGTGGCCAGAGCACCGAAGCGGGAGCCAGGGCCCCCAGGTTCTGATTCTGTCATTCATTGCTGTATGTTCTTAGCAAGTCACTTCCACTCTCTAGGCCTCAGGTTCCTCTTCTTCAACTGAAGAACATGGAAAAAAATGATCCCTAAATTCCTTTGAAGCTTTGGTAGTCTGTAGCTTTTACGTCCAAGAAGACATTAAAAATGAGATCCCAGAATTTACTGATCCTGTGCTATAAAATGGGAAAATTGGAATAATAATAGTTGACACATGCAAAGCCCTAAAGCCCTTAGAATAGTGGCTGGCACAGAGTAAGCCTTCAGTAAATGACTAATAACTGTGTGTGGCATAAGATATCTCCCCTCCCCCTTTGTTGCTCCTCCTCCCAACAAGCCTAATTATCTCACTTTATAATTATCTCACTTTATAATCAAGGAAACAGAAGCTGAAAGACATTAAGAAATTTTCCCAAGGACCACTCAACAAGTAAATGGGGGCGACCCTGCGGCTATTATGAGAGGAAGGCCCACTCCGACTCATAGCTGGTGAAAAGGTCGCCAATGCCCCGTTCAGATCCACTGCCTCAATCACAGGGTGGTGCTCTCACCTCCTTTGGGGACTATATGTCATAGGGCCCTTCCTTCCTCAAAACACAACATAAATAACATCCTTCCATGATGGATGAGAGAAGATGCATTAGAAGTAACTTTGAAAGCAACCAAATAAACATCCAGTTTTTTCTAATCCTGTCCTAACTGTGCTTTCTCCTGCCCCCAAGGAAACAGCTTCCTGACCTCTGAGGAAAATCCCTGCCCTGGAAAATGAAACTGGGGATGCTAGCAGAGGAAGAGATGTTCCACCCCCAGCACTTGCACTAGAACTTCCTAAGGGCAGAGGGGAAATCGATGAGCTCATTCTGGATCAAAGGGCGGTGAGAAAGAAAGAAACAGACAGACTCAAATTTCCAGAGGCTATTTCAGTTTTCTTTTCCGTTTAATGCAATTTCACTTATGATATCAGCCAATACCTGGTTGCCAATTTGGAAACTCCCCTTGGGGGCGCTCCCTCTACTGGCCTGACTCCCTATAAAGGGCCAACATGAGCTGCAGAGAACCCCTGCAGAGAATCCTGAGACAGCACAGGATCTCCCACAGCCTCTGCCCACGGGTGCCATGAAGCTCTCTGCAGCTGCCCTCGCTGTCCTTCTTGCCACTGCCGCCTTCTGCGCTCCTTCATCTGCCTCCCCATGTAAGTCCAGGTCCTGACCACCACAACTCCCAGAGTCAGAGCCTCAGACTAGCCCAGACCTTGCCTCCTTTACAGCTATAGCATTTATACTGTCTGAACCCTATGATTTAAATTCTTACTTATTGCTTTTCCCAGATGTCCAGTTGTCCCTGATAGATCCCTAAGCCACTTCATGGCAGGGACCCTCTGATTAATGTTCTGTATCTTCAGGGTCTACACCCCAAGCCTGCATGAGCTCACTGAGTGTGGACTGATACTGGGGATATTGGTAGGCAGGGGCAGCTCAAGCTGACCTCAAAACATGACTGACTCATACCTAACACTAGCAAGGTTTCTAAGAAACTTATAAGCACCTAAATAAAACCCTCTTGGGTTAGTCATATTTTCCGCCATTTCATAGACGGAAAAAAATAGGATTTGGGAAAGGATAATGAAAGCTAATTAAATACCTACTATGTGTCAAATATTATGCTGATTGTTTTATATATATCATCTTATTTAATACAACTACTTTTGAGTGGCTGTCCTTGACTTGTAGATGGGGAAACAGGCTAAGAGAGGTTAAATAATTTACCGAACTCACACTGCTAGGAAGTGGGGAAATTAGTGTTCAAATCCAGTTCTATCTGGCTCTTAAACTCTCCTACTCTAGCAACTGTCATTTCCCAGGGTCACCCTGAATTAATTGACCAAAAAAAAGTTCTCCTTCTCTGTTAGAGGAGTCCTTCTTGCTATGCATCAGCTAGAGGCTCCCAGAATCCCATACATATCTTCGGGCCCCTCTTAGGGGTCCTGGCTGAGCCATGAAGTCTGAGTTTTGGAAACCTCCCCCAGCCCACCCTAGGTCTCAAAGAAACTAAATTCTGAGTCCACTGAAGATCCTAGGAGGGCAAAGATAAAGGCAGAGGGCCCGAGAAAAGTCAGGAGGAGGCCCAGCATGTCCTGAGAGTCAAAGGCATGGGGTTATGATATAGAGGGAAGGATACAAGCTAGGCTCAAGGATTAGGTGAGAGATCGGGGGGATCCTCTCTGTCCTCTGTTGGAATCCCCACTCTGTCGCTGGAAGACAAATAATATAAAGTACGCAGCACGATAGCCAGTGTGTACTGGCAATGAATACAGGGGTCTCCTTCCTTCCCTCTCCCAGATGCCTCGGACACCACACCTTGCTGCTTTGCCTACATCTCTCGCCCACTGCCCCGTGCCCACCTCCAGGAGTATTTCTACACCAGCAGCAAGTGCTCCATCCCAGCAGTCGTGTGAGTCTCAGTCCTGCAGAACCCTCTAAGGGGGTGAGGAAGGTGCACATTTTGTTGCAGAGCCAGTCCCCCCAGGAGCCCTCTGAGAGGATGCCCTATCCACTCTCACCCATTCTCCAGCTGCATAAATAGACATGGCTCTTCCTTCTCTAGCTTCAGATTCCCCAGCTATCACATGAAAGGATTAGACAAGGTGTTCTTGGAGGATACTCCCCACTCTGATGGACTAGGTTAGGTCTCTAATCTTTACGGGTGTGATTTTTACTTCAACATCGTCTGCAATGCCCCTACATGAAAAAATTCAACTCAGTCATTCCTTTCCAGTTAAGAACTCCACAGTCCCCCATATGCACAACCCATCATTAGTGATAGTTGCTTAAGAAATTTAAGACAATAGAGACTTAAAGAATTAAAATAGGGCAATCACGAAGTTTCCTATATAATGGTAAAGTGTTTTAATCCAAAAATTCCTGTGACACTGGCAAAGTTATAGGTATTCAGAGTTGGCCTTTGGTTCTGACAAATCCTTCAAAGTATGGTGGTAATTTTAATATTACTAATTTTATTTCTGAAAACAAATATTTTTCAAAAGAAAAAAGTCCTTCTTTGAACACTTATGGGCAGGCAGAGATTAGTAAACTATCATCCTTGCCCTTAAGTGTCTCATAATCTAATAAAAGGATAAGACAGACATAGCAATAATAAGGGCTCCCTGCATAAGAACATTACAAAAGGAGGGAGAGAACACACCCAGCTTCAAGAGTGTGTTCTCTTCTCCTAATTATCAGGTTGAGGGACTTGGGTATACCAGACAGAGGGGATGTCACCAGGGATCTCCTTTGGTTTATGTAGAGTCTCCATGTAGTAAAGCACTTAGAACTTAGAGTGTCTGCACAATGAAGCCAAAGTGTTTGTGCTATCAAAGGTGGAATGAGTTGGAACAGAGAAAGCCTAGAAAAAAAGGGGTCGAGTTATGAGGCTGTTTTTGTAATCCATGTGATGGCACTGAAGGCTGAACAGTACCTGAAGGGAAAAGGAGAGACAGGGTGAGAAAACTGCAGAGTTGGAATTAGCAAGTCCTGGCAGATGATGTGAAATCAGGAGCAAGAATGAGAGAGGGGTTGAGGGTGACACTGAGGTTTCAACCTAGTTGACTGGAGAAGTGTGGAGCTTCCTGAAGTCTTGAGGAATAGCTGTTTAAAGAGGAAAGAGCCAAGGTGCCAGCAAGACAACCCTGTGGAACTGTCCAACACGGAATGAGAAACAAAGGGTTGGTAGCTGAGGAAAGGGTGTTGGGCTAAAGATATGACATTCTTTTATAGGAGGAAGGGGTGTCCCAATATGAGTGGCAATCGAGCATAGTCTTGGCTGGCTCCAGAGCTAATCTCCCTTCGTTAGAATCCCAGGTCTGTCCATTGGTAGCTGCCTGAACTTGGGCCCATCACTTAACCTCTTCGAGCCTCAATTTCTTCACTTGTAAAGTGGAGTAAAATAGGATTATTTCCCCCACTAGGTCGAAGTGAGAATAATAAAATGAAAGATAAAATTAGAATATTTCCCGGTACACAGTAGGTGCCTGGTAAGTATTAACTTATCATCATTGTTTTTCTCCTCTTCTAAATGTATTATTATATACATAGGTGACAAATGAAACTTGATGAGTAAATGCAATTCATTCACTAACTCATTCAATAACCATCCATTACACCCACTGTGTGCCAGACCCAGAGTCAGAGACTTGGGAAAGCACACGGAAGAGAAAGGGGCAGCAACTCTGAGCAATTCTCAGGGGGAAGGTGAAGGTAGAGGCTCCCAAAGAGACCAAGAGGGAAGAGAGGCAGGAGAGAAGTCAGGCAAGTAGAAGGTCCCCAAAACGGGGGCAAGGAGAGAAGCCTTGGCAGGGAGGGACTGTTCTCCGGTATCGCATTCTACAGGAAGGAGGAGGAAATGGAAGCCTGAGCAACTCTAACCCCAGAAGTTGGTTCCCCAGCCTTTTGACTTCCTGGCCACAGGCCAGGGGGGATGAAAAGAGAAGATAGCGAGTCTTCAGGACTTCCTGTATGACACTTGGTTTAACAAGGGTAGACTGGGTCTAAAGCTCTCTCACCACCCCAAATAAGAAAACAAACAGTAGGAGGCACAAGAGCCCAGAATACCTCTTATGTTCCCTTTCTCTTCTTTGCAAGTCAGGGTGGGAGAGAGACATCACATGGTTCTGAGTGATACTCAAAAAGGGGAAGCAGCTTCCCTGAGAGCAAACAATATGCATGATAGAGCACAAAAAGGGAAAGGGATCAAGAAATCCTCATTCTCCCCAGACAACATAAGCCTTCACTTTGTCTGAAAACATCCTAAAGAAGAAGCCAAAATGAGAAAGGTCCAAATAGGCAGGGCTAGTCCCAAAGTAACATGTTAAGTGGAAGCAGTGCTATCGAGGCCCAAGATCTCCCCTAAATAAAACCAGTCTCCCAGTAACAGATGAGGCAGGCAGCCAAACTGAGCCTATGATTCCCGGCCTTTTATACTTCCAACTTATACTATCAATACCTGTAGAGATAAGGCCTCTGGCTCTCATGGGCCTACACATTCTGGCCAGTTAATTGCTAGAGGTGCTTTGACATTGCCAGTATCTCAGGACCCTTTGAGCCATGATGTCCTGTACCAGGACCTTATGTATCATGTGGCTCTGATCCACTCTAAAGCAGAGGTCCCACAGTATTCCAATAACAACACATGTATGATACTTTTAAAAACTACTGCACACATACTGTCTCATTTGACCTTCACAATAATTGTACAAAATAGGAATTATTTCTATCCACATTTTAGAAGTGAAATTAAGACTCAAGTTCATGTCCTTCTTTCATTCACCCATGCATGCATAGGTGGATTCATTTGTTGACTGTCTACCCTGTGCCAAGCACTGTGTTATCCAAAGTCACATATTCTTTGTCTCCCACTTATTCAGCCATGACTTGGCTCCTAGTGGACATCTTTTTTTCTCTGCATCTTGAGCACCCAGCACAGGGTCTGAAACAGAGGAAGTGCTAAGAAAAGGATAGTGGTTGACCTGCTCGACCTTAGGCGTCTCAGGCCCCGTATTCCCTTAGCTCTCCAGGCTGCATGTGTTTGTGTGTGGGTTAAAATGCATACAAATCTGCTTTTGGCTTAGAGCCCTTTGAACCAATAGAAGAGGAAATACCTTTCCCTTAAAAGCCACAGATACGATCTTACGAAACTCCAAAAATGACCTACCCAATACCATCATCATTTCTCTTTACGACTCAATCAGTTTCGTTTCCAAAATTGGCTGTCCCAGCACTCACCAAGTCTCACTCTCTTCTTCTCTCCCACAGCTTCATTACCCGAAAAAAACGCCAGGTGTGTGCCGACCCAGAGAAGAGATGGGTACGGGAATACATCAACTCCTTCGAGATGAGCTAGGACGGACGGCACCTTGAATTTGTGCAAACTTTCCTGTTGCTTATTCCTCTTGTCCTAACCAGCTTAGGGGGCTTCTCCTACTCCCATCCACTCATTGGAGGGCGCAGATAAAAGCATCCCCCAATGGAAGCTTCCAAGAGCTCCTGAGGCTCTGTGTTGAGCACAGAAGTCTCTAAGCTCTGAGCTTCAGGCTCTTCAGCTCAGCATGGCTTTGCAAACAAGAAGGAAGTCAGCGTACCTCCAGAGGCAAAGAAGGGAGAAAAACTGGGTTTCTATGGTAACGTCCCATCTTAGCCCCTCACTGGGATAGGCTGACTAGCAAAAGTGAAAAATCAGCTTTCTATTAAAATTCTCAAAGCAATTACAAAGTTGGCTTCTGGTTTGATTTAATCCTCAGGAACCCTCCTTGAGCACTAAGCATGCAGGCGTGCGGGGCTTGTACACATCTGGTGTTTGAGGGCCATGGGGGTCATGGTCCTAAACGGTGAGCAAGGCTGGGAGTACAAGCTTTCTGAGAAGGGGCATGGGCAGGACAGAACAGGTAAAGTAACTAGTGGCTTATCCACTCTGAGGGGAAACAGCCACTACATCGCCACCCCCAAGTCCCCAAGAATTTATCTCGCTCCCCACCACAGCACCTCCCTGTTTCCTCAGACCATGGTGGCCCTGCCACCCACTCTGTTCCCCTTCCACCCTAGTCTACCCTATACCTTATCCCCAGTGGGGGATACCCTACACTCTGCTCCTGCAATGGGATTTAAGGTCAATCCCAAAACACCTCCGTTCTTTAAAATAAAGAGAATAAATAAAGAGGTGGGAGTACTCCCATCTATGTGTCCCTTCATGTGACTATATATATTGACAATATATATTGTCATAATTATAGCTAGCATAACTGAGCACTCATTATGTATCAGGCATTATCAGCCTCTTATATTCATCATCTTTCATCCTCACAACCCTTTGGGGTAGGTAGTATTATTAACCCTGTTTACAGTTGGGAAAACCCTTGGCAAGGAAAGAAAATAACTTGCCCAAAGCCTCAAAGTGAAAAAAAAAAAAGAAGGTGGCGGGTAGGCAGGTTACAATTAACATTAAACCCACCAGGTCTAATGTGAAAGCCCATGCTTCTTTTTTTTTTTCCATCTTTAATTTGCAAAATTTCAAACCTACAGAAATTTATAAGAATACACCTAAATACCCTTTATCTGATTCAAATAGTAATATTTTACCATATTTGCTTTATTTATGTGCATGCGTGTGTGTATATATCTCTATATACACATGGTTGGTGTATACATTTTTTTCCTGAATTTGAGAGTAAGTTGCAGATGTGGTAACACTTCATCCCTAAGAATTTCAGTACACATCGCACACTCAGGAAACTTAACATTAACACAATATTTTCTAACTGCAGTCCATGATCTATTCCCTACAATTATCCCAATGTTCTTTATGGCTATTATTTTTCCCCAGGATACAACTAAGTACACAAATTGAATTCAGCTGTCATGTCTTTTTAGTGTCCTTTAACAGACTTTTTTTGTCTTTAAGTATGTTGATATTTTTAGCAGTTCAAATCAGATTTTTGTAGAATATTTTCTCATTTGAATTTGCCTGATTATTTCCTCATAATTAAATTCAGGTTAAATAATTTTGGCAGGAATATCACATGAGCGATGCCATCTTTCCCAATGCAACATACCAGGGCACATGATGTCAGGTTACTGGTGGTAACGTTAAGTCTGATGAGTTGGTGGCCCATGTTTTCTTGCTACAGTGAGCTGTCTGCTGTGTGCCATGCACTATGCTAGGCACTGGGGAGTAGGGGTGGGAGTGGAATACAGAGATGAATGGGCTATGAGCCACAATCTTAACTTTTAGGCAGTTCACAGTCCAGTGAGAAAGAAGGATGGACCAGATTAAACATATAAACAGATAAACACTTAAAGGGAAGCAACTATACAAAAGGCTGAAGTCACATTGTGGGTAGGGAGACTGCACCTGAATGGAATGAGGCAAGGTGCGCCTGGGGGAGAAAAGAGATTTAAAAAATGAGGTAACATGTAAGTAGAGTTTGAAAGATTTGAGAAACCATTTAACAGGTGGAAAAGAAAATGAAAGTCCTGACAGGTAGAGAGATCAGCATATGTAAAAGTAGGAGGTATGAATGGCAGCTCCTTACCACAGTTAAGAGTTCAGTCTCTTGCTGCCAAGAAGAGGGGTGTATGTATAAGAGGGGCTTTCTCATCCCTGCCATTTTCCTGATGACTAATCCTAAGAACATCTCCTGCTCCTAACATAGGCTTACGTGAGCTTGAGATTCACAAATGCTTTGACTTTCTTTTTGAATTTATGCCTCACCACAGTCCCTCTAGTTAGCCACACAGGCACAACTTTCCCACTTTTCAGATCAGGAAACGAAAGCTCCCAGAGTTAAAATGACTAGCTCAATCTACAGGCCAGTAGATGTTAGGGCTGGGGCTCAAGGATGGAACTAGAGTGTTCTATTTACCTAGGCAATCTGGTTGCTCAGCACTTGGAATTTTCTATCTCCAAAAGCCCAGACACTTCATCAGCACTCCTTGTGCCATAGAAGACAAGTCTCCCTGAGCTCATCCCCCACTCTCCCAAAGGTCCTGTATTCCACCACCACTACCACAACCCCGCCCAAGTTCCTTCTTGCCCCACCAGAAGAGGATGGCCTATGAAAAATCAGCAGATCTCTTTGACATCGCCAGGTCAATGTTCAAGTATCCATGGCTGGAATATCCAGGAAGGACCAAAGGTGAGCCTGGAATGGACAGGAACAGAATCAGGGTCAGGGTCCTAAAAAGGAAAGCTCCCTGGCTCCTGGTCCCAGGCAGGGGTCTAGGTGAATTCAGCAAATCCATGGGAGGGCTCAGGGCAGGCCCTTGGACACTTTGATGGCCCTCAGGGTAAGTCGGTAAGTCTCAGGGCCCTTTAAGGTGAGATAGCTGTGTGTTTCCTTAGCTTCTGCTCCCTGATCTCTACTCGACTCTCATACCACCAACTCTTCGCATAAATAATTCCCTGTGCCTACTACTCTTTCCTCCATTATCTAACCCTTACTTGGAATGAAGACTCAGCTTGTGTACAATCCCTGGGAAACCTTCCCTGATCCTCCCACCTGTGCCTTTATCTGTCTTCACATCTTTCCCTTTGTTAATCATTAATAAACAGTTCTGTCTCAGCTAATTCAGTGGTTCTCAGGCAGTATCTTGTTAGAAATGCAAATTTTCAGACTCCACCCCAGATCTACTGAATCAATACTTTGCAGGTGAGTCCCAGAAATCTATGGGTTTTTTATTTTGTTTTTTAAATTTAAGTTGGTATACAATTTTATATTAGTTTCAGGTGTACAATATAGTGATTCAACATTTATATACCTTACAATGTGATCACCACACTAAGTCTAGTAATCATTTGTCACCATGAAGTTTAACAAGCTCTCCAAGTGATTTTAATGCACACTCAAGTTTGAGAACCACAAAACGAGACCAGTGGTTTTCACAGTTAGCTGCACATTAGAAGCCTCAGGGGAACTTTCTAAAATATCTAAAATAGGCCTTTCTAAAATATCTAAAATATCTAAAATTTCTAAAATAGGCCTTCAACAGACACATAAAAAGATACTCAACATCGCTAATCATCAGAGAAATGCAAATTAAAACCACAATGAGGTATCACCTCGCACCTGTCAGAATGGCCATCATCATTAAATCGACAAACAAGTGTTGATGAGGATATGGAGAAAAGGGTGCCCCCATGTGCTGTTGGTAGGATTGCAATTAGTACAGCCACTATGAAAAACAGTATGGAGGGTTCTCACAAAATTAAAAATAGAACTACCTTATGAACCAGCAATTTCACTTTTGGGTATTTATCCAAAGAAATCCAAAACACTGATTCTAAAATATATATGTACCCCTATGTTCACTGCATCATTATTTACAATAGCCACGATATGGAAACAACCGAAGTACCCCTCAATAGACTATTGGATAAAGAAGAGGTAGTACATACATATAATGGAATATTACTTGGCAGTAAAAAAAGAATGAAATCTTACTATTTGCAATGACATGGATGGAACTGGAAGGTATTATGCTAAGTGAAATAAGTCAGACAGAGAAGATCAAATACCATATGATCTCACTTATATGTGGAATCTAAAGAACAAAATAAGCAAACAAAACAAACAGACTCATAGATTCAGGGAACAAGATGATGGTTGCCAGATGGGAGGAGGGTTGTGGAGTGGGGTGAAAAAGGTAAAGAGATTATTAAGTACAAAATGTTAGTTACAAAATAGTCAAGAAGATGTAAAGTAAAGCATAGACAATATAGCCAATAAGATAGTAATAGCTATGTATAATGATAGGTGGGTACTAGACTAGCCAGGGAGATCACTTTGTAAATTATATAAATGTCTAACCACTATACTATACACCTGAAACTAATATAAAATAATACTGAATGTCAACTGTAATTGAAAATTTTTTAAAGGGAGGAAAGTGAAGGAAAATAAGAAGTTTGAATTTCCACGTTAAAACAAATAAGTCATGGGGATGTAAGTACAGCATAAGAAATATAGTCAATAATATTGTGATAGCGTTTTACAGTGTCAGATGGTTACTGGAATTATGATGATCATTTTCTTTAGGTATATAAATGTTGAATAACTTTGGTGTACAGTGAAACTAATATAATATTGTATGCTAGCTATACCTTAATAAAAATCTTTTTAAAAATAAAGTTCTTGCAAAAAAAGTAACTATGTAAATGATAGATTGATGGTGGGAATCAATGTACACACACATCAAATCTACATTGTACAATTTAAATACATTACAACTTATTTTGTCAATTATACCTCAATAAAACTGATAAAATAAAAATAAATACAAAAATACAATACAAGGATCTTTGGAAACATGGTGGAGAGACGTCCACAGATCTCTCCCCTTGAAACAACAATAAGCTGAATATCTGAAACTCAACAAAAAACACCCAAACTGCACACCAGCACATCTGAGCGTGGGATGTGTGCATAAGAGCTACAACAGGTTAGAGCCCTAGGTGTCAGGCGGTGGACTGGAAGAGATAAAGAAGCTGTCTCTCCCAGTCTCTGGAGCTACCTGTAGAGGGAGGGGGAGAGGAGAAGGAGCAGCAAGTTCCCTGAACAGCCCTGCCTGGGAGTCCCGTGAGCTCCCCCCAGCTAGCGGCAGGGCCCAGTCATCAGGGCAGAAGGCAGAGAAGCGGGATAGCAGAAAAACTACAGTTGATTTTTACCTGCTGCAGTTGCAAAACCGAGGCTGAGCCATAACCCCCTACCCCCAAACCAGAGGGCCCCTCCCCCCATACCCTCCAAGACCAATCACCACAGAGCCCCAGGGGAATCTGAACAAACACTACCAAAACTGTTGCTAACATTGACAACCACTGAAACTAAGGGTAGTGAGTGTGATTAAATATTAGAAAATAAAAAGGCATTTTAAAAGCTTTATATAAAGCAGGGATCCAAGAGGCTTAGATGCCACCTACTGGAAACCAAAAGAAAAGCTCCTTCTTTGCAACAGGCTAAAAGAGACCTTTATATAATAAATATTCTTTTTGGAAAAAAAGCAGAATACATTTCTATTAAAGCCCAGGCAGAGAAATAGTCCATTAAACACCATGAACAACCAAGGTGAAGAAAAAAAAATCTCCAGAAAATAAGCTTACAGACATAGAAATATGCAATTTAAATGACAGAGAATTCAGGGTGATACTTCTGAAAAAACTCAGTGAATTCTGAAATGAGTTATATCAACAATTTCAGGAATTAAAAAAATACCGAGATGAGCAGAGCAGAGATTGAAACCCTCAAAAAGAACCAAATAGAACTTCTGGAGATGAAGAACACACTGCAAGAGTTGAAAAATGAAATAGCAAGCTTGGGAAATAGAGTGGACCAAATGGAGGAAAAGATCAGTGATATCGAAGACAGAAATCTAGAAATAAATCAAAAGGAAGAAGAGAAACACCAAATAATGAAAAATAATAAAAGAGAAATTCAAGAACTAGTTGATACCATGAGAAGAAACATAAGAATAATGGGCATTGTCACAGGTGAGTGAAAGGAGCAAGGACTAGAAAGCATTTTCAGACAAATAGTAGATGAGAATTTCCCAAATCTAAGAAATGAGCTGGAGCTTGGAATTCAAGAATTCAACAAAACACCCAATTATCTCAACCCAAAAAGGCCTTCACCAAGACACATTGTATCAAAATTATCAAAATCAATGAAAAAGACAGAATTCTCAGGGCAGCCAAGGAAAAGAAAATGGTAATTTATAAAGGAAAACCCCTTAGATTATCAACAGACTTCTCAGTACAAACTTTACAAGCCAGAAAAGAATGGAATCAAATATTTAAACGATTAAGTGAAAAGAGCTATCAGCCTAGAATAATGTATCCAGCTAAGCTCTCCTTTAGAAATGAAGGAAAAATTAAGACCTTTCCAGACATACAAAAATTGAGGAATTATCCACTGCGAGGCCTGCACTACAGGAAACACTAAAAGGAGTCAAAAAAAAAAATACATAATTAGGAGTAAAGAGACTATCAAGCAAATAGAAGCAGAGGAGTGCAACCCTTACAAAGAACAGGGCATTATAAGCTTAAATAATAAGAAGAGCATTGTTATAACAAGATAGTAATGAATATTCAGCATACATAGGGACAAACTGAGACAACACTGACAAAAGGGGAGGATTCAAAGATCCAAATTCTCAAAAGGCGATGGAGATAAGGCACATGCAGAAGACAATGGACGACTGTATCTATATAAATATTCTTTACATATTCATAATGGTAAC